GTGTTCAAAGAAACTTTAACACTTTCTTCTGCTATGCCATCTTTTAGAGAGAAATACGACCCATTCTCGATATCTGGCTGCTACAAGATTGTTTGCTCGTTTGGTTGTTATTATGTTGGTTAGACATGCCGACCTATTCGACAAAGATTGGGAGAACACAAAAATGCTTGTAAAGGAATCTGGGTCCAACGGTCAGAAGTGGCCGAAAACATGTTAGAAACTGAACATGAAATAGAATGTCCTCAAACTAGTAGGTTTGCTGATTATGGTACGCCTGCGGTTAAAAGAAAGACAAGAGAGGCTATTAAAATTAATAGATTAGGAAATAGGTTAAATGTGAGGAACGATGGTAGAAAGTTGAGCATGAACTACTTATGCTTGATTGATAGATTGAAGGAGAGAGACTGTGTTGAGGCGACTCAATTTATCTGCTCAGTGATGGTTCTAACTTGACTCACACTCGTCCAACATGTTAGATCAAGCTCCTCAACCAAACCAGACGTATCAGATTACGTGATCCTAGTCATGAAGTTTCTCGAGTGGTTCAAAGATAGTGATCCTAGACTGCGAGGTTAGGACAAGTGGTTTCGTAACTTGGCTTACATGGCTACAAGTTCATACCTCATTATCTCAACCATACACGTTTCTCGGTCAGGGCTTTCTTTTGGGTCATTAGCCCTTGATGATCAGAGCCTGATATTAGCCTTTTGACAACTCTGATTTAGGACCGGTATTGTTTATAGACGCTAACACACACACACACACACTCGAGCAAAAGTAGTATGACTAGTATGAAAGATAATAAGCCAAGCCAGTCTATATTTATCCAGGTTTTTAGTTTTCTTTTGGCTTGATTGAGTCTATAGAAGAGGTAAAATAGAGCCGGAAATTCGTCTTGTCCTAGTGTTAACGGGAATCTTTGACAAAAATGAGACCTAGCTTTGATGATGTCCATCATTTGATGGACGAAAGCTCAGCCCGTTTTCACCTGAAAACAGAGAGAAGGTCTCGTGGACTACATCAATCTCAAAGTCGTGTAAAAGCCAAACGGCTGCAGTAGAACGGGCTTCATCCGTCTTTTTCTGGTGAGATCGACCTACGAATCTTTTCTTTATGTACTTTCATACGAAATAAAAATCGCCCCAACAACTTGCACTTGGTCAATCTCGTGAAAGTATAATATCAAAACAAGTATGATCAGACCTTTCTGATGCTGATAAACATATCTATTTCACTAACAGATATTTTCTTTGTCATTTCTGACTACATCAGATTATTTCAATCACTTAGCTGCGAAATCAGTCTACCAAAACTCTGCCAGTTATCCACACACACACACATATACATACATAAGATAGCTGAACAACAAATAGCAAGAGCAGTTTATGTAAATTCAGGTCCACGTTTAGGTAAAAGAGTGATTTCTCTTCTTTAACATTAAAGTAATACTAATAGTTGATGATGGAACAAACTACTGATGTTTTCTCCCACGTATAACCATGGTCCCAAGCATCTTTGCCTCTATGAATTGCTCTGACCAAAGCCTAAAATTTATTATGAAATAAGAATAATACTAATTTATTGATGCATAATTTAAAGTTATCATGTTTTTTTTTTAATTTATTGTTATTTATTAGTTTTATCGATTATTAATTAATTATTAGCAATATTGATATTACTTTTATTTAATATTGACTATTATTTATTTATTTGTCATTATTACTCAAAATATTAAGAAAGGCTGTTCTTTTGCACTGGCACTTTTTCTGGCAAACAATGGCTACGCGATCTGGCGATGTCTATAACAGTTGAAGCATTTCGGTTTCCGTCCGAACCAATTAAAGTAACTTTTATGTCCGAATTTTCCTTCAAAATGAAAAACAAAACTACATTAAGATATAGATAGACCAAAAGATTTTTGGCTTAATTTTAAATTTACAAAACTCATCTTTTCGGCCTATTCCTACCAATATATCTGTGTCATTAAGCCCAAATCCAGGCAACTTACAAAGGCACCCTCCGATTATGGAGAGCTTTAAGTGCATTGGTCATCGCACATCAGTCCTAAATCACACTAAAGATACGACTATGTGGGCATAATCACGACTTCTTGAAAATTGCACCAATAACAAACGGATGAGCTTCCCACGAGAGATTTAAGAGAGGCATTGTAATTAAATTTCATTCTTCCTTGAGTTCCATATGTGAGTCAGAGTGAATATTCAAAACATAAACAAGATATTTTTGATAGAGCTCAACTATTCCACCTTTTTAACAAAGTTTGAACCTCTAAAATCCTAATCTTAAACTAACTACCCGCCTTCTCAACTCTCTCCCTCTCCAAATCTCCATTTATTTGATCTCACTTCATGTGGAGTTTTATTTTTTATCCTTTATTTTATCTCTCATTGACTGCATTAATGAAATGAAAATAAAATTAAAAAATTTAATATATGTTCGCCGGAATATCTCGGATAAATTAATGTCCAAGTATCCACATGAATATTTAATCTATTTTATTTTTATGATATACCTTATTAGAAAGCTATCACAGTCAATTATTATCATTCATTTTCTCTATTATTCCATTAATAATATAAACTATTATTAGTTCCATAGGATCATAAGGTTATCAAAATATTACTTCTGCTAATCGGAAATTCGGTCCAGGGATAACCTGTTGTGTGGACTCTTACCATATCATCTTCAATAGAGGAAAATTTAGGACAACGGGTGAGATGAGTTGCTGTAAACCATCTTTCCATAGCCTTACTGATAAATCTTTTTAGAGCCTCTGCAGTCTAAAACAGATAAGTCAGATAAATCACTGTATAAAACATAGAAGATGAATATTTGTTATCACTATTTCCTACACAATTCAGCCGACTAAATAGTCATTTATTGCCTTTTCGGACAAACTGCCCAGTTTTATGTAGCTTTAATATTTGCTTGAGCTGAAGACCGGTTGCTCTGCTATAAGACATTCAAAAGACGGGTTCATAATCACAACGATTGAAGAGAACTTTGGTCGCCCATGTCTTCCCAGAGACTTTACCAGTTTACTCGGCCATTCAGTCTGATCTGGTCCTAACGATACTTTTCGGCCGTACTTACATCACTACTCTCGCTATACTGTCGAAATTACAACAGTCCACAAAGGTCCTTTGTGCCAATTCACATTCTCAACATAATGTGACTGTAGATGCCAAGACCCCTTTTGCGGCAAACACGAAAGTGCCTGTTGAAGCATTGGCAACCTATTCTGTTAAGGTTATTTTGCTGAACACTTTGATGAACTTGCCACGCATGAGGATGAAGAAATGGGCTGTTGTCTGCCAACAAATTGTGCCTCTTCATCCTTAAACCGTTCTGCCCAAAAATTTGACACTTTCTTCCAGTATCCTGTAGTCTACGTAGATTTGGAGGAGCTGGATGAGGATGGCTAATCATTTAATACAATTAGCCATAATCTGGGGCAGAAATGTTGCCCAACAGAGTCGCTTGTCCGCTTCGTCGATAAACCTTAGGACAGCAGGAAATGGATAATTCATGGGTGCTGAATTAGGATGCATGATACTGACGAATTTGGGAAAAAGTACAGACATGATAAACATCTTGATCAGAAAAATTCAGTATTAAAAGAATACAGATAAGGCATATTCAGTTAAAGTGGGTTTTGATAACTTAACTCTGATACATATAATGTGGGCAAGCGTTGTAGAAGGGTTGAATAGAAATTGCAAAAAGTATATACAGACGACTGAAAGAGTGGTTGGGGAATCAGATAACTTAGAAGAATCGCCATCTCGTCACGGAATACCGGTGACGTGGTAGTGCTAAGTCGTCGGATATCAGGAATCTGATTGCTGGTCAGATGCTGTCCGGATGCATTGAGGAGAGGGCTAAAGTTGTGATGAAACTTCCTGCGCCACTCTTCGCAATCTGGGCCAGAGGCCCGGTTTCGACATCGCCCCACTTGTTACCGAGTGGAAGTCGTCTTTCATCACAGTTAAGAATGCCTCTTTGCGATGACTGACGAAGCGATTG